CAGCTCGGCTGGCTGTACCGGGGTGGCGGAGACTGACGGAGCCCCGGGATGAAAGGGCACGTTGGGGCGTAGAACAGGTTGCCTTTGGCTGTGCGTTGGCTGAGAACGGCCCGGCAAACAGTTAAAGGATAGTAACATATTGTTACATGAGGTAAAAAACGATACTTGTAAGGTGCCAAAACAATATTTCTGTGTCTCCAACGTACAGAAATCACCAATGAATTCTCAGAACATCCCTAGTCACATCATCCACTGTTTCAAACTTCACTTTCGTACCGCGCTTCAGGAATGAATCAGTTTACTGAGTTCATTACTGTTACTGGGACATGTAAAAAAAAAAAGCCCCTGAACTGTTGAGCTTCGTGGTAGTAATGCTTCGTGGGTTTATGGGTACCTGTCCTCTGAGGACCTTTTCTGCAGTTTGCAAAGATGAGTGCGGTTCTTAACGCAGTAAAGAAGAGCACAAGAAAGAGCGTGTCTCTGGTTGCAGGCTTTGACATGTTATATTCTGTAAGTGGTTTCCTTACCTATTAGATAATAACTGGAAAGGAAAATATGCAGATAGGATGATGTGTTACAGGTGAAACTATATTTCCCTTCAGCTCATAATTAATATTTTTGGTTCTATAATACCCAGTTATCTCCCTTTCATCCAGTTTTCTCTGTTGAATTGCTGTAGTAGTAGATTCTTGTCTAGAGAATACATCAAATAATCTATAGTCTTCTAGGAAGTAATTAACATGTATGTGCCGCAGTGGTTTTGTGTGTACCTTAAAGAACACTTGAAAGTGAAAAATACCTGACTCTTTTAATATCAGGATATGCGAATGTAATTGCACTTAATATATGGAAAAATCATTATTTGACTTTTCTCTGAATACAGGTTTATAACATTACATAATATAAACCAGCATAATGAAAATACAAACTGCTGTTCAGTGTGGGAAAGAAGGGTAACATTCATCAAACAAGTTGCATAAAGTTTTGTTCATTTTTCATTTCCAAGTTTCATAGTTACCTTTATATTATTATTATTATTATTATTAAGGGAAAATGTCCTGAAGATGGATGGGATGAAAGCACCATTGAACTGTTTCTTCATGAACTTGCTATAATGGATAGCAATAACTTTCTGGGCAACTGTGGTGTGGGTGAGAGGGAAGGAAGAGTGGCATCAGGACTCGTTGCCCGAAGGCATTACAGGTACAAATTGTTGGCAATTTGAATTATTCAGATTTATTATTAATGCTTTCAGATGGCATATTGCGTCTTGTTATCTGAGACCTTGGTAGCATTTGAAAAGAACAATATAATGTGAATTGATACAACTTTCTGTGTTGAATTTTCATTAGTAACTCATTGGAAAGTCTTGAATGAAACAAAAATGTTTTGTCAGGGTTATGTCCTGTGTGCTGAACTGGTAGGAGCTTAAGACATTGAGTTGACTACATGTAAGGGAAGCAGAGATCTTCCTGTTTTAAAATAACCCATGCATTACTTGCTTTTTTCAACACTGTCCAGTTTTTTTTATCTGTATATTATTAAAAAACTACTGTGTATTGTAGTTGTAAAGTATCAAACATTCCTAGTGAACAGCTGTTTTTATTGTCTTGTATTCACTAATATCTTTATAATGTGATTAGTTGATATGCACATGAAAACCCAGTCTATCTATAATAGGTTTTATATGAAGTAAGGAGATCTATAAAGACAAGAGCTTTTAATAACTTGTAGCCCTTCTTACACTTGATGGGTATGTTGGGTGCTATAATTCTAGAGGTTTTGTGTTAATTTCTTTATAAATATACTTTTTTTTTTTTTTGCATAGAGTTCTGTGCCGAGTACCTTGCTGTGATGTTTTATCTAAGAGGAATGAAAAAAAGTGACATTTCCTGGAATGTTTCTCCTTGAAAGATTAGACAAAAACATATGAGAGACCAGAAATCTAGGAAGCTTTACCCTATGGAAGTTGAATTACTTAGGCTTAATGGCTTTCATAAGCCCTACAGTACCATGAAAAATTAATGAAGAAAGCCAGTAATACATCAGTTTGGCTTTTTTGTTTTCTGTGCTGCTCTCTAGTCTAGGATATGTGTGGTGAGGGAGGTAGAGGGGTCACACTGGGGAGAGTATCCGAGCAAGTATTGCTTTCTGACAATGCTGGAGAAAGCATGCCCAGCTTCTGGTACGAGAGAGCCTGGGCTGGCGTTTAGCTACTGTTGGTCTGATGCAGCTCTGTCTCCTGGCATCTCGCCTTCACCTAAGAGCGTCAGCAATAGCGAGGAAAGGCGCAGAGGTGTCCTCCACTCCACTTATTTCTGCAGTAAGTTTTACAGGTAACTTTGGGAGTGATGGAGGTAGCAGGAGATGGTTCTCAAGCTGTCTTTCCTTTCAGCTTAATAAATTCAAAGGGCCAGTCTTAGGGAGGGTTCCTCCTCAGGAACTGGGTACATATGTGCAGAAAAGAAAAAGTAGTAGTATGAGAAAGCTATAACGAACATAGCAGCAGGAACGAGGGAAGAAAATAATTTTGATGGAGTCAGGATTATGTGCAAGTTTCAATTAATTATCAAGCTATTATTGATTTCAACGTATAGCTTGAAATGGGTAAAAAATTTAAGCGGTAAAACTATGCTCCAGGAGGTCCTGAATTCCATACATTCATCAGACTGCATTTTACTCTATTCCTAAGACAAAAACAGAATTGAAGCCATCAATAGATGTGTGTTGTTACTAGCTTACTTGAGCAACTGCTGCATTTCAGCCATGGGTAAAGTCAGTTCTGTAAGCTTATATTTTATACACAATTTCAGGATCCTCCACTCCTGAAAGGTGCTAAATAATATCTAGCTTTTATAAATGCAGTTTATAAACATAATTTATAAACAGAATGCAGAGAGAGATGGTATTGCATGATGCATAATATTGAATAGTAGAATGAGGTAGATGAAGTGAAGATGTAGAAAAAGATGGGCAAGGTGATACATTAACCTAACTGTCTCTAAGGACGTTTTGTCACAGTGTGTATTATTTCTTTGCCCTGTGGAGATGAAGCATTTGTCAGGGGAGTATCTGCGTAATACCACTATGCCTATGGTATGCTACACTATAGGCAACTGATTTTTTTCTTGGAGTTGCGTGTCTGAACATGTCAGCATTTATAATGCTAATTCAACAGACATCCAGAAGTGCTGAGGTACACTTAAAAGGAAGCCTGCCAGATGCTAAAGGTCTTGCTACTATGGGTCTTCTCAAAGTTTTTACTAGCATACTGGAACATTGTTAATCTACTGTTAAAAAAAAAAAAAAGAAAATGACAATTTCATACGATTCTATGTAGTTTGTTATAATGGAACTCATCGTGGCAGATATTGATGTTGCATTGGTGCATAGGATACAGCATTTTCCACAATTGTTTATCAAATTAAATTATCTTCGGTCAGCAAGAATTATTGCTTTGGGATGTGAAAAAACTTGATGTATGTTTTCAACCTTTTTTGTTTAGGTTGATCCATGGAATTGGAAGGTCAGGTGATATTTCTGCAGTCCAGCCTAAAGCAGCAGGGTCTAGCCTTTTGAACAAACTTACTAATTCAGTAGTTCTGGATATTATAAAGCTGGCTGGTAAGTGTAAATCTGAAAATATCTTTCGTTTGTGGGGGCATGTCGTGGGTTCTTCATGTTAATTTCTGACTTGCTTTTTATGTGCAGGTGTCCGGACAGTGACCAATTGCTTTGTGGTTCCTATGGCAACTGGCATGAGTTTAACTCTCTGTTTTTTAACATTGAGGCACAAGAGACCAAAGGCAAAATACATTATCTGGCCACGTATAGACCAGAAATCTTGCTTTAAATCAATGATAACTGCAGGTAAGGAGGAGCTGACTGATTACGCAGTGTGTTCTTCTAACAGATATAAAACTTCATCTGATCCGTTCATATGCTTGCAGTAAGATCCAGAAAAGGCCTAATGCATAGTAGTTCTAAGTGCTTTATTTGTACACTCATGATTTCTAACGTGCAGTCACACGTATGAGTTTTCTTCCTAATGCCTTGTAAAATGTAGGCGTATGCTGAGGTACAGAGGTGTATAAAGTAGTCAACAGAGAACACAATACTAAGGAAGTTACAGTTCACTCTTGGAGTTAGACGCCTAATTTGCTGTCCTGAGAATTATGTAAAACCAAGGCTCAAATCTCTCTCTTAGATTCATGCAAAAAGCATATGTGTCCTAGGAATTGTGATCAGAAGGTAACAAGCTGTCTGATTTGCACATTCTTTTCTTTTAGAACATGGAAAGTGTTACCTCCCCTATTTGTTTTTAATCTTGCAGTGTCACTCAGCTTACTCAGGAAATTAGTTTGGTGCCTTTCCTAGTTTAAACCTTAATTTCTCTCAAATGGAGTTCCTTGTTTACCAGTCTATAAGTAAGTTAAGGGTAGAAGTCTGTCCCTGCACTGAAGCTGTCCCCTCCTGCAGACAGATGCATGGAATCAAGGAAAGGGCAAGTAAGGGAGACCATAATTTTCCAGCTCAGTGCACATACCTGCAGGTGGTGGCATAGATTCTGGTCCTAGTTTCTAGGACACATTTATTTTTTGCATAAAAGAATCATTAGATAAAAATGGCTAAACAATTGGAAGCAGGAACTGGATTCTGTCCAGGTAAGATGCAGCAAGGATTTAAAAGGAATCAGATCAGAACAAATAGGACGTGTATAGAAGAAAAGTGGGAGTGTTTTCAGAATATTATGCTCAATTTAGAACATCAAGCTAAAGAAATTATGTTTATAATAGAGAAGGTTGTGAAGAAATATAATTGATCTGTTCTTTTTCTTAATAGTTAAGACAGCTATCACAAAATTAATTCAAAGAACTATCAACTAAAAATAAGAGAGAAGCAGGTATCAGACATCTAACAACTGTCTATTAAATGCAATCTCTGTCTTCGGGATCACTAATTGAAAACAAGACTAGGGCTAACAATGCTAATAAATCATTCGAGTCCAAGTTCTTGTGTAGAGTTTGAGCCTTACATGTCAGTGTTAAGGCATGGTGTTGAGCCATGAAGGCAAAATTCACATAGCTGCTGTCTTTCCCTTCCCCCCCGCCGCCTTCTCCTTTACTTTCATTCAGTAAACTGAACATCTCTCTGTTTTTTAGGAAAGTAATAGTCACTTCAGCTAGCATGATGTTGCTGCCATGCCACACCTGTTTAGGGAAGGGAATATATGGTTTCCAGTGTTCTATTCTGTAAACAAACCCCTTCTGATTGATTTATTTATTTATTAGCTAGAAATTTGAGCAACTACCATGACAGGCTCCCCTTGTTAAGATAGAAAACTCTTTAGGCGCTAGGTTAGATCAACCATGCTTTTGTCTAGCTGAATCTTGAAAATCTTTGAGGATGGAGATTCCACAACCTGTCTGGATAGCAGTTCCAGTGCTGTGCTGTCCTCTGAATGAAAAAAAGTTTTTCTTACTGTTTATTCTGAACCTCTCAAGCCAAAATTTGTTGCTGTTGCCTCTTACTATATCCTACCAAGGAGAGTTTGGCTCTCTTGTCTTTGTAATTCTCTTTCAGATGGGGGCTGCTATCAGGTATTCTTCTTAGCCTCTTCAGGCTTGAAAAGTCGAGTTCTTACAGCCTTTCTTTCTAAGCTGTGTGTGCTATACCGCACCCATCTCGGTAGCCCTCTGATGGACCCTCTCTGGTTTTTCAACATCTCTCCTGAGCAGCCCGTTCCAAAACTGGAAACATTCCAACATTTAGAAGAAAGGGATAACTTCCTTTTTTCAGACGTTTCTCATATGTGTCCTTGAGAAACAACCTTATGAGGTTCAGCTGTTGTACATCTGAGATACAACTTAAACTGGAAACTTAAAAAAAATAAAATAAAAGACTTGGGAAATAGCTTGGATTTTATGATATGACAAAGTTCACTTTGAAAATGAGGTCAAATGTGGACGTTTTTATCTTTTAAGAAGTAATTTGGAAGTTTATGGATTGAATAAAGCAGAGGCTTATGATGAAAGCCAGTTCATAATCATCATTATTGCATTGCTACATCTAATGGCATCCTTTTTTAGAGAGGCTGTTTAGTATGCTAATGCTTTACAAGACTGCCACTCAAACACTGTAATTGGGAGGGAAGAGGTTAATCTGTTTTTAAAACAATCTTCAAACCTGTTGCTGTTGCATGCAAAGAATGTCAAGTGAGCTTTTATCTGGAGACCAATATTTAACAGGAATATTATTGTAGTTTTTAGCTATAGCTAAAAAACAGTTTATGTATCTCTTCTTAATCCAAGTCTGAAAGAATCTGTTAAAACAATAGAAGCAAGAAGATTTTTCAGATTTATACTGGAACTAAAACCCCACAATTAGTCAGAGGTTTGAAGATACACATTCAGGTCTTGCTTTTTTTGGTCAGGTTTTGAGCCTGCGGTGATAGAAAATGTATTAGAAGGCGATGAGCTACGGACAGATGTTGAAGCAGTGGAGGCTAAAATCAAGGCTCTTGGTGCTGAAAATATTCTTTGTGTGCATTCTACAACATCTTGCTTTGCTCCAAGAGTACCTGACAGGTAAGGAGTCTTTGTAAGAAGTGTGTTATTTGTTACTGTAAAAAAAAAAAACAAACAATCCAAAAACCAAAACAACTCCCATTTTTTGAATGTCCATCTTCCTAAAATTGCTTAAGTACTGCCAACACTTAGTAAAGATACTTGAATCCCCTTTCTTAAGGAAAATGGCAGGTTGAAACGATGTTCCACTTTCACAAAAGTATATTAAGAAAGTGAGAATAATGCAGAAGGTCTTCCTTCTGTTATATATCTGAGGTTAATGATGATCTCTTGTGGTGAAATGAATGTCAATTTGGCAGTGGTTTTCTTATAGTTTCATGGAAGCAGTAAAAGTAGACTTTCATAGAAACATAGTCCAGGAAGTGTAGTTCCATACCTAATGCCACATTTTAATACTACTGTTGCCTTTTCTAGCCTTCTCTAGCCAATTATGAATTTTCCTAGGCTGTTAATACAGTTAAAAAAAAAAAAAAGCTACAGCTAAATTTAAAATCTTTGCTTGAGTTACTCTTTCCTGTATTATACTGATGTTTATATGGCTAATTAAGATATACTGATACAAGGAAACTCTTGGAAGCATCTAGGGCATATGTGCTGTACGAGTATAACATATGATTTACCCTGCCGTAACTTATCTTGGTTTGAACATTTGCTGCCTGATTGCATGATGACGCTTCTTGTAATTTCCAGCTGTTAAATCACCATTAAAAGAAGCTTAAAATACATTGCATTCTTTCCTAATATTGTGTGTCCGTATACATAACTTCTGTAGTTGCTACAAAATGTCATTCAAGCACTAGCTGAAGCTGAGATGAACATTACAGTTATGGATGGGGAATAGAGTATCTGAGACATTATTTCAACGTGTAGCTTGGTTATGAAATATTTGAAAAACTTCTCAATCTGAAAATGATGTGTTGGAGGAGAGGTAGCTAAAGGACTTGGTATACTGAGTCATTTGTCCAAAATGAGCACCATTGTTACTCGCAAAACCTGCTTTCTCTATTTGCTTACAAAAATAAGTATCAAGAAGCAAATTCCTTAGGTTTTACGATTCAACAGGTATATTTTTATGGGCTTGTATGTAGTACGCTGAAGTATGAGATATTAGTAAGATGTCTTTTTTTTTACATGGTTTTAAATGTAGTGTCTCAATTGTTCCACTTTAGTCGTTTTTAATTAATCACAAAATTGAAAAGACTTATGTTTAGAGTTCCTGTGCAGTGCATGCTTTTTTGTTAATTACTTTGTTATCTGGAAAATTTAGTTGAATATTTGCAAGTGTAGGAAAGAAACATTGTCTCTGAAACATGGCAAGTAAAGATATGTTTCATTCTGTTTTCCTACCTTTAAAAAAAACCAGTATTTATCGTAGGTTAACCCAGTTGCTAGAGGGAAGTTAAAACCATCTAATTCTGTCAGAATACTATGAACATTGCTTGAAGTTGACTTGCAGATTTATTGGCTAACTTAAATCACAGCTATCAAAATTGAATGGTCTATTTTATAGCTTGGGTAAATGAATCTTTTCCTTATCTGCCTCCTCTTTCTGACATGCGATTGTTTTGTCCTCCGCAACTAAGAGATGAATTATTAGGTAGTGGCACTGTGTTATGATATACCACAGATATAGGAGGATTTGAATGTACTTTCTATTTAAAGGATACTGTCAACTATTGAAGGCCATAACATTCATCTTCCTACATGAAGGGAAATCCCGTACAGCATTTCTAGAGGGTACCGTTTTAGATGTCGATTTTTAAATATCTTGCATTTGTAAGGCTTTGTTTAGTGGTGGTGGTGGTGTTTTAAAATTTTAAGTGGCTTAGGATTGTTAAAAGGTCAGGGTAAGAGTTCTATACCTATATACCTACAGCTTGCATTTAAAGTATTATTTAACTTTATGGGAATAATTCACTAGTGTATAAAGCCCCGTCCTTGGGGTGACATCAGTTCTCAGTCTCTTACCTGCTGTTGCTGTGAGTTGTCTCTGAAACTACTGTATTTAAAAGAGAACTAAAAGGAAAAATGTGTCTTTTTCGGTTAGTTTATGTACTTAGCAGAACTCTGTATCTTGTTATTTTATTAATATTAAAAGAAAGAGCAAAGCTTTCTTTTTATGAACTTTTATAAACAGGAGAGAAAGAAAGAATACATTGGAAAATACTTCTGTAAATCCTGTTTGTGACTTCTAAGAACTTGAGTAGTAGCCAAACTTACATTAATGCTTTATTTTTCTGGTATGACTAGCAGCACTTTTAATGGTTCATTTTAAGCCGTGGAAGCAGACAAGTGGTGTGCATAATTGTTTGCTTCCCTTGCATAATCACATATTCTTTTCAAACTGTAGCACTCTCATGCTATACTGTAATGTAGATCTAATTGTTCAATAGACTATTTTTAGGAAAAGAAACTTTTCTGGTTTTGGTACTTGTAGAAGCTAGCTTATTGCTCCTTTAAGTCTCAGGAGGTGAGAAAGGCAAACATAGAGAGCAGTACACCCTCTGTGTTTCCAGTTTGGTGAAATGCTCTACCTGCACTTGAAAAGAAGCCTGTAAGAGGGGAACTGTTTTTCTTTGAGTCTCTGTGGAAGGTGAGGAATGAGTCTGATTAAGATCAGCAGATCAGAAGGCAAAAACTTTGCCCTGTGTAGTATTATGTTTCCTGAAGTATTTTGTTAATGTTACATAGTTCAGGATTCGGGATGTTGATAAATGTGAAAAATTATTGGACATGCAGCTCCTGCCAAATATCTTGACTGTAGAAGATCGATATGTACGTTATACTACTGGTGTTTCCTAATCATTAAATGCTTGTGATTTCTTTAGTGATAATACTGTGATAATGATGTTTTCCTAAGGATTGACGTTTAGAAAATTTAATCTGAGATTTGCAGCTGAATTTTGCGTTACAAAACGACACTAGGCAATGTAATAGAAACAGAATGCAAAGGAATGTCACCTCTTGGAAAATGTTTTCATACTCTGTCACGTTTTATATGAATGTCAGTAAATTACAGTGAGAGGCTGTACAGAAGGAGATAGAGTAAAAATGCATTGAAGGTTTAGAGTTTCCTGATCTTTTTTAAAAATAATATTACCTTTATCATTACTTTAAATTATTATATATTACCTTATTTTTTCAAATAGATTTTATTTCTAAAATATATTCACAAGTTTGGGGGAAATCATGAGCTTTTTTAAAGAAGAGAGCATGATTGGAGTGCTTCAAAAAAGGGTACTGAGTACATGTATGTTTAAAATGTTGAAGGACCTTACCCAAAATGACCTATGCACCCACATAAATCCTAGTTTGACTGAGAAATCAATCCAGGCTGAGCTCACTGTGATTTTGGGGATTTCTAAAGGCAAGTGAAGGGTTGTCTTTGTTTCTGAGTAAACAATTGAACAAAGTTTTAATTTGTTGATTTCCACATTCAGACATTTTAGGGCTCTCCATTCCTTGAAGAATATCTTTTCTGTTAATCAGTTTATCTGAAATATGCAAGTGAGCTTTCAGCCAAAGGGTTGAAATATTAGTTCTTTGAAATAAACAGAAGCATTTAAAGACTTACTGTTATATGGTGCTTTTGATTCCCAAGACACATCTTGAAACTTCCATTAGGCCATTTTCAGGTTGAATATTAAAAGAAAAAGAAAAAAAGTGTGAATAGCTAAAGCTCTGTTAGTTATCATTAAAGTAGTATAAAAAATATTTATGTCTGAAGCAGAATGGTTTGGGATCTATTTACTGTGTTCCAGACAAAACTTTCAGTGATGCATGAAAAATTTCAGCCCAGGTCAACAATTTGTAGTATATATGAAAGCTAACAGAATTTTTTCCTTAACCTTTATAGCTTAAGGTGACAAGTGCTACTTTGAGGAACTAATCAAAAAAGTTTCTTTTCTCATTCTGACCTCCTTGTAGACCTTTCAGTCTTTGAATGGTCTGATTTGTAACATGAGTTACAGTTATCGATACTTTTCTAAATTACAATTTTATGCCCATAGACTGGAGGAACTGGCTGTGATTTGTGCTAATTATGACATTCCCCATATTGTCAACAATGCGTATGGAGTTCAGTCTTCAAAATGTATGCATCTTATCCAGCAGGTAGGAGCTGTGTATTCAAATAATATCTTTTTTAACAAAGATATGTAAATCTCTGATTGTAGACAACGCTAGCAAATTTTATCAGATATTTCACAGCTTTGAGACTAATCCCGTGTGTGTCCGATAATTGAAGAACTTTCTGAGAAAGCAGAGCAGAGGGAAATAGAGCTTAAAAATAATATTTGTTGTTTCTATTATGTGCTTTTTATGTATTAAAACCCAATTTATTTGCGTTTTCTTTATGTTCAAGTGTCTTTCATAATGGAAAAATGTCTTTAATAAGCTTTCTTTATAATATTTCATAAACTTGACTAAAAATAAAATGTCATAGAAAATGGCTGAGGAAACTGAGTTACGTTCAGTGTTGTGTTTGAAAAATTTCTGTTCCTGTTTAGTTTGAAAAGAAGGTTGCTTAATATGCAAGATCAGCCATGAAACTTAGAAGTCTTGCATTTTTACTCATTGCAATGTACGTGCACTGTTTCTTCATTATTTCTCTTTTCTCTCTGTTGCCCATATCAAAAGAATAGGGGAATATTTTTTTTCACACGATCCAGGAGATCATGAACTATTACGAATTTAAAATATGCTGGTCATTTTTTTTCTAATTAAAAAGACATGTTATTAATTGGGCACAGACCAACTTGATATATAATTATGACAGGAATGTCATGTTGGCATTTCTAAATCTTGAGAGACTGAAAGAATTTGACAAAACCTGAAGTGATATGTGAAGAAGAAAATGGCATATGCTTTATTTGTAATGTACTTGGTACATGTTTATTGTATTTAACTTGCACAAGTCTAGTGAAATTCTGACATGAGGGGGGCTGTGGAATTGCTGAGTTTTACTGCATGAAATATATCTAATGATAATCTTTTCAGACTACAAAGCTGCAAATAGAACTGTTATTGTGTTGGTTTCTGTGTTTTTTTTCTTGGCTTCTTGCTAGGTTGTTTGGGGTTTTTTTGTTTGTTTGTTCTTTGATTATGCAAATGTATACATTTGAGCTCTGATTTGTTTTACATTCATTTACAAAAATGTGTTTCCTGCAATACAAAATGTACTGTCTATGAGGAAGTAGTTATTAATGAATACTTGGGAATATGTACATGCTGAGCACAGTGTGAACAAAACTTGCTAGAGTATCACAGGAAAGAGCTTTTGAGACCATTACATTTGCCATGCTTTTCCTCTGGTGGTCTCCTGTCAATTAAATCAAATGATAGCTGCTGGCATTCATCTTCCCATCAAAAAGCTGACAAATTTGGAGTGCTTCTTCCCATCTCCCATGCACTAAGCTATTAAAACGTAGAAATAATAACGGGAGTTTAGTTGGATCTGCTTTTTTCACTCTTTTTGCCATAGCTATTCTATTTCTTGGTTTTAATATGTAGTACTTTAATATGTATGTATTTGAATATACTTTAATATGTATGTTCTTTAATATAGCTATCAGGTTCTGTTATGCTGCATACTTTTTAATTGTACAGTTCACAGTAGCATATTACTCAAACTGTGGATGTACTTAAGAATCTACATTTTTTTTTTCCTTTAAGAATATTTGAGTGGCTAGGTATAAGGACATTTTGTTTTCTGGGAAGAGGAAAAATCTGCTACAGGAAGTTATCTTGATTTTGCAAGCAGCCTTATAAGAAGGAGTGCTGTCACAGCCCACTTGTTTTAATGCAAATTTATACATGTATCAAGAAAAATCTTCTTTTCTAATGAAGCATTAACCTGTAGCCCTTTTTCTGGGAGAATCTCTGAAACATTTTGGGTTGTACAGTTTTAACTGTATTAATTCCCATTAAATTCCAAGGGTTTTCTTTTTGGTTGTTGTTGAAAGTAAGCTACACTTAGACTTGCAGGAACTAAAATCGATGTTTTAAATCATAGCAAAATAGGAAATTATAAGGTACTATGTAAGCAGACAATGGTAATAACAGTGAGCAATGCTAAGAAAAGGTATTACTATGATTTCTAATTTTTCATCACAAATAAAATATCTGAGTGAGTTTCAGGAATTATATTTATTTCAGTTACATTGGTGTGCAATTAAGATGCTATCACGTGTTTCCTTTTTCCTAATGTACGTTGTGGGGTTTTTTTTGTTCCTTTTTGATACAGGGTGCTCGAGTAGGCAGAATAGATGCTTTTGTTCAGAGCTTGGACAAAAATTTTATGGTTCCAGTAGGTGGTGCTATCATTGCTGGCTTCAATGAGTCCTTCATACAGGAGATCAGCAAAATGTATCCAGGTAACTAGTTCATGGACTGATTTTATCCATATGAAATAACTGTAGAAAACTTGATTATCAGCTTGCTTTCACATAAAATTTATTTTTGCCAACTTAATCTGTATATTGTTTTTTTCAGGAAGAGCATCTGCATCTCCTTCTTTAGATGTCCTCATTACGCTTCTGTCTCTAGGTACCAGTGGCTACAAACAGTTACTGAAAGAGAGAAAGGTAAGCTTTTTGGCAAGCAGCGCTTTCTTGAAGTCGGCTGTTAACAAAGTCTTGTTGCAAAACTGCTTTGTGTAGTAAATCCAGTTTCTATCTAGAAAGCCGTTGAATTTCTTCTGAGCTCACGGCTCTGAATCTGGAAAGGCAGTATGATATAATTACTTCTTGGCCAAATAGTACTCATGAGTAAGCATGATTTCCATGTTGTTTTGCAAACCAGAAAGCTAAACTGAGGTCCTGTACCACCTTGTACAGTGTTCATATTTGTTCTAAAGTGTGACTGATACAGTAGAATTTTGCCTACAGAAACCTAATGTGAGTAGTACTGTGCTATGTTATCATGGTCACACTGCTTCCAGGACTAAAGTGTGAGATCAGACAGTCAGAGGTAACCCAGGGGTCTCTGCTCTTCTTCATTTGTCCCTATTGTGCCTTTGTGCTATGATAGTGTTCAAGTAAATTTTTGTGTACCACATTCTCTGGAGAATCACACACAACTGGTTAGGTTATAAATACTGTGCATGGCCACAAAAAGCAAAAAATACTGTCATTTAAGGTATTCATCTAGATACAGAACTAGGTTTCTTCTCTGCCTCTCACAGGCTATATGTTTTATGTTGGGTATAACTGCATTGCACAAACATTAAAGTGGTCTAAGGTTGGAGCCTGTACATCTTGAGTTGTCCTTAATTCTGGACATAATACAGGCCTGATTTTGCTATCTTTGTACATTAACACAGAGGATTCTTTTTGTAGAGGGTTTTAGGTAAGGGAATGCTGTGAATTAAGTGCTGTTAAGTTAATAGTCTTAAATCCTGCATGATCTGTTCCGTTATTTTATTTAGAAACTACATTCTAGTTGTTTCCTGCTACGGCTTGCTGTTGCCTCTGATTACCTAGCAGGGCAGTAGTGCTGGATGCTGTGACTTCTTTCTAGCTGCTTGTAGAGGCATCCAGAAATTCTGCACTGGAACTGAGATCCCATAGGAATAGCTAGACTATAGAAAACCAAACCAGCTTAGTGGCCTTACAACAACTAAAAAGTGATCTGTGCAACTAAAGTGAAAACATGGCTTATGAAACGCTGAAAGTAGCTACTGCTTTTGCCACTATTGCAATACAGTTTCTAACATTTTATTCTGGACTATTGTATGTATTGCCATGTATGGTTTGTGTCTTCTTTAAAAGCAAATTGTATTTATTTCCCTCTTCACTCTTGTCTCCAAAAGAACCTCAAGTGAATTTATCGTGTCTTCTGCAAAGCTGATTTTGATGTTAGAGTTACACTGGTAGCAGATACATAATGGGCAGCATAAATATTCTCCAAGTCATAAATAATAATTCTTTCATAAACAAAACGTCTTAATGAATAGCTGTACATTTTTAATCATGTCATTTTCTTGGAAGTAGAATTCTAAAGTGCATAAAGCATTATATTTTCACAACTTCAGGTCTTTTAATTTCAAATGTGAGTATACTCTATAAACACAGCTTCATATATGGCATAAATATGTTTCTTTTATTGGATTTGCTGTAGAAATAGAAACCTTTTTCTGCTTAAATCTGTTTGTTCCTGAATTGTAAAAATCTAATAGTGATAGTTCATTGCCCGCGCTCTGTGAAAGCAGAGGCAGAGCTATTAGGCTCCCAGCAGGAGCTATTTATAGCTTGACATTGAGTACTCCTTTTTATATTGGTGCAGCTACACCTCCTTACACAAAAAGTCAGCTATAAAAAACTTCAAGTATTTTTTTTTCTTTCTCTTTTTACCTTATCCTTATTCACATGGGTGTTACTTCAGGTTATTTGAGCTCAAGCCAGAAAGACCAGAATGTTACTGAGAAGAGATTAATCTCGCATAACCAAGGCAAGAAATAGTCTGCCCAGTTTTTCTTTTATGCAGATGAACTGCTTAATATAGGAAGGGAAGAGATTATATGAGGGAGAGGAGCATGTATATAGAGTGGGATTTTCTGTCAAGCTGGCAGTTGTGGAGTGTGCAATTGTCCAAGAGTATGAGATTATATGTTATGATATGAAGGAGTAAAATGGTGCAATGGATCTGAGGACAGAAGAGCAAGGGAGTAACACACACATGCTGTCCAAGTGTCTGAAAGAGGTGGCCATATACGAAAGCTTAATAAGGAATGTTTTCAACAGTTGTATTTAGCCTTGATGTTTCAAGGGAAAGGATGGAAGACCACCACCAACAGTAATGTTTTCTCACTTGTTCTAAATTTTCAGTATTCCTCTTTATATGTTTACATGGTGTTTAGAGCAGTGGTTTTCTGATCTCAGGAGGAGATTCTGGGTCCTTTTGTAATGCAGATAACGACAGCTGACCCATAGTCAAATTTCTTAATAACTTTGCTTTTAAAGAACTCACAATATTATGTAAAGGGTATGTTTTTGTAGCTGCTGCTTTGATTTCCTCGGTACAGGTTGTGTTGTGTCTCATATTCTGTGTTGCCAGCTCTTAAAACTCTGTTTTCCTGTATGTATTTGTGCGTGGGAACCAGACCACATGTAGCAAATATAGTGGTTACACCGTGTAATAGCATAAACAGTAGACTTCAATTGTCACCTCAGAACTGACGGAGAGCAAGGACCCTACATTCAGGGTTTACATTCAGGACCCTACATATCAGGTTTAATGCCTGTTAACTATTTTCCAATGTGGTCCATTTAATCCATTTAACAAATTATTATACTGGTGTTACTGAAGAGATGATGGCTTCATTTTGTTTTCAGCAGTTATGGATTTCCTCATTAGACTTTCCTTAACAATCTAACGATCAAGATAATTCTGATTTTCTTAAATGTATTTCTGTGTTACTTGGGACCTGATGGAGCTTTTTATATCTGTATCCATCTGTCTGTATACTTTCTAAGAGTGATTAACTGAAGTCGCTTTTATGTCCTTATGGAGTATGTATCTAAAATATTTAAAATCACACCAAGCGGGGGGAAATGGTTTGGTTTTTACAAGTCAGTAAAATACTGGGTTTACATTTCATCATTTATCATTGATGTAGTTATTCTGATAGGAATAAATTATTTGTACAGCTCAGTGTGAGTTTATATTGCTGCTCTACTTATGATTGAATTTAAGAATAAGAGAAAAGCTATTTAATGCAGGATATTAAAAATGTAAAAAAATCAAATAATCTTACAACAAGACAGACATTTGTTACTCTTTTTTTTTTTTTTTGTCTAGTCAGTTTGCTACACTGTAGTTTATCAAATGTGTGGGAATATTGCACGTTTTTCCTCATGTGAAATATGTGGAACCATTTTGAAATTTTAGAGTGGCTGGAGGCAAGATAGTTTAACTGAATGTAATCATTAGCTTAAATGGTGTTGTGTAGTTAAACAAGTGCCAAGTATGAATGGAAGCTTCAAAGAGGCCTACGTACTCGAAGTGTGATGATTGTCGGCTGTAGTGTTACCATATCAGGTTGGCAAGACTTACTGGGCAGTTTCTGTTACTTTTATATGCTATAAAGATTTAAAGGTTCTGTAATTAATTTCATATTTTTAAATTTTTCCAGTATATTACAAATTCAGAACAAAATTCTCAACCTTGCAATGCACAAGAATCTATATATGGGGGTATGTGGTATATGTAGTTATCACGCACGTACACGTGCAGTTTCTGTCATGTATTTGAATGCGTTTCCAGAAAGTAAGCCTTCTACTGGGGCTCTCTGGGGCATGCACTAACGGGCCTCCATGCTCAGCACTGCAGCCTCTCTGTCTGCGTGAAGTGGTGGGCCAAGCGGTCTGGTCAGATCACGGGTCGGATGCAGCTGGGCAGCCTAATACACAAAGCAGAAGAGAGGCTATGACGGTTGCGTTATAAACAGCTCCTGCTGCAAAGTAATTGAAGATGGGACCAGATCAGTCTCAGGTACAGCATATGAGAGCTGGCAGTCTGTATCTAGTGCAAAGAGGTTGTAAAATTACTCTTCTGCAGTGTCGTCTTCAGCACCATAAACAGCTATAGGGCTGCTCTCTGAGGACAGCTCATCTTTTCAGATGACAGCAAAACAAGGAGGAAGGCAGAGTGTTACGGAGTTGGAGCGTAAGCAAGCTGGGTGGTTAGAACCAGCTAGGATAGTTTCAACCACGCACAAAAAGCTTTCTGGCCTTCATCAGTTGTCGCTTTGTCATCTGATATGGGACTAAATACAGTATGATTAAAATGTTTTTAATAATTGTTACAAAGCTTCTTGAAAATGTTTTTTTATACATATGTGGAAGTAGGCCATTTTGTCCAAATAATTGAGTCATGTGGCACATTTGATGCATACGCCGTTGTGGACTTGTTCTTCGTATTTTTTGAGGTATTTTATTGTTGCAGGTGCTAGAAAGACCAGAAGAAGTGCAAGACATTTGCATGTAGTTTAGCATTCATTTCCCTAGCCTGGTGAGGTTTTGTGATAAGGTTCTAAGGGGAAA